ACTTCCCTCAGGTATCTGCTCGAATGTCATCTTACTAGTGAGGTCTTCCCTGATCATCCTTTTTAAAATTGCAATTCACTCTCTCAGTCCTTTTCCCTGCTTTATTTTTCACCATGGTACTTGTCAGATACATTTTTTTATTTTGCTAATTCATTGTTGCCTATTTCCCACACCAGAATATAAGCTTCCCAAGGACAGGGACTTCTATCTGTTTTGTTCCTGACTAATCCCTAGCACCTAAAACAGGACCTAATACATAGTGCTTTACAAAAAAAAGTGTTGAACAAACTGATTGATGAAAGAATGAATGGATCTGTCCAACACCCTGCCCTTTCTCATGTTTTGACTTCCTCAGCACCCACAGGCATTGCCTTCCGTCTTCTACATCAGCCACCCACTCCCATGGAATCATGGGCTTTGTCATCACTGCAATGGTATACCTCAATTTCAACCTCTGACTACCATCTCCAGCCCAGAGTTCACTTGCTCTGCTATTATCACGACAATTATTCAGCTTCATCAAAAACATATTTACAATCTATTTCTTTACCTACTTTAGATTCCAGTCCACCATGACATACATACCCTGCAGACAATCGCAAGATACCCTTGTCTTTCTCTCCTGGCAAACCTCAACCAGACCATCCTCCTATTCCATGCTTTCACACAACTGACACCAATGACTACTTATGTTTATTGAATACTTACTATGTGTTTTAAGCACTTTACATTAATTCATTACTAATTATTTTTTTTCTCATAACAAAACTGTGAGGTGGGTACTATTATCATCCTCATTTTGCAAACAGAAATGATAGTCACTTAACTTACCAGGAAAAATGTACAACCACACCAACTGGTCTCACTTTAAATGGATAGCAACACACCTCTAGTGGGCACTGAGCAAAGAACAGCAGGACTACCACATCCCTCAGTGGCTTTGATTTTCTACTCTCTAGGACACATCATTTCATACCTTCCGTTCTCTCTGCACAGACCTTCTTCCTTCAGCTGAAACCTCCTGTTATGCTTCACCGAGAAAATAGAAGCCAAGAGACAGAAACACCCAGATCTTCCAACCACCAAACAGCAGCCTCTACCTTTCTTCCTATTGCAAAGAAGGATTTTGCAACTCCCAAAGCCAAGTTCTTGAATGTGCTCTAGAGTGTCTTCACCCAGCCACTCGAGGACTTTGTCATCCCCTTGCTGACAGCACAAGTTCCTCCCTCTATACAAGGTTATTCCTGACATCACAGAAGCACCCCACAAACCTTCCTCTGGCCCCACATTCTCTTTTGATCACCAATCCATTTTGTGCCTCCCTTTCACAGCAAAACTTCTCCAAGTAATTGTCTATTCTTTTTCTTCCATTTACTCTAATCAGCTTCTGCCTCTATCACTCCTCTAAAGTGCTTTTTTTTTTTATTAAATCAATATTTTTTATTATGGTTTTGTGGGGTACAGTTAAGGGTTAGGTGTACAATTACGTTTCATTCAGGTACCTTGTTGATAAGGGGTATTTCCCCTTCCCCAGACAGATATTTGCTACTGTTAATCCCATCCCCCTCCCCCCCCCATTTTTTTTTTTAGTTGGAGTCTCACTCTGTCGCCCAGACTGGAGGGCAGTGGCATGCTCCTGGCGACCGCAGCCTCAACCTGCTGGGCTCCGGCGATCCTTCCACCTCAGCCTTCCAAGTAGCTGGAACTACAGGCATGCGCTACCACACCCGGTTAGTTTTTTGGGTTTTTTTTGAGTTGGAGTCTCACTCTGTTGCCCAGACTGGAGTGCAGTGGCCACTCCCAGCCACCACAGCCTCGACCTGCCGGGCTTCAGCGATCCTTCTGCCTCAGCCTTCCAAGTGGCCGGAATTAACAGGCACGCGTTACCACGCCCAGCTGATTTTTTATTTATTGTAGAGATGAGGTCTCACCAAGTTGCCCAGGCGGGTCTCGAACGCATGGGTTCAGGCAATCCACTCACCTCAGCCTCCCAAAGTGCTGGGATTACAGGCTGAGCCACCGAGCCCAGCCGAAAGTGCTCTTATCAAGGTCATTAATGTCCTCTTGGTTAATTCTCCATTAGTCATGATTCTTTGCCTCCACCTCCATCTGTTAGGCCATCCAGGGCTCAGCTTGGGACTGCTTCTCCTCCATTCACACTCTCTCAAGAGTGAATCCAGTCTCAAGATATGTCATGCATGTGCTCTCCCACTTCTCAAAGTACATCCCCAGTCCTAGTCACTTCCCTTAACTTTACATTTCACATTTAATGTACTTTAAAACCCTTGACTTTAGCCGGGTATGGTGGCTCACGCCTGTAATCCCAGTACTTTGGGAGACTGAGACGAGAGGATTGCCTGAGCCCAGAGTTAGAGACAACTGGGCAGCTTGGTGAGAACTTGTCTCCATAATAAGTCAAAAAACTACCCAGGCTTGGTGGTGTGTGCCTGTAGTTCCAGCCACTTGGAAGGCTGAAGCAGAAGGATTGCCTGAGCCCAGCAGGTCAAGGCTGCGGTGGCCATGAGCATGCCACTGTACTCCAGCCTGGGTGACAGAGTGAGATTCCAACTAAAAAAAAAAAAAAATTATAAATAAATAAAACCCTTGACTTCAGTGGGGCATGGTGGCTCACACCTATAATCCCAGTACTTTGGGATGCTGAGGTGGGAATATCCCTTGAGGCCAGGAGTTCAAGACCAACCTGGGCAATACAGCAAAATCCTGTCTCTATAAAATAAATAAATAAAATAAAACCCTTGGCTTCTGTCTCAATACCTACCTGCTTATACCCCTGTTTCCTCCTCTGAATGTGTTCCACTAACCACTCAGCTTAAAAACCTGGGCATCATCCTCAATTGCTTCCTTCCTGGCATCTCCACATCGACATATCTCTAAGTCCTGCAAAATCTCTCCATCTCTCTTGACATCACCCTCACCCATACCACCATCATCTCTCACTTGGACCACAATAGACACTTTCTAATAAGTCTCCCTAATTCACTCTTGCACACTTACAATCCATGCATTCTTCTGTTTTAGAACTCTCCCGTGGCTTCCCAAATAAACTCCAAGTATCCTATCCTCAAGACCCAACGCGACATAGCTGTTCCTCTCTATCATCATCCCACTTTCCCCCTCAATAGCCCCAGTGCAGCCACACTGGAATTCTTTCTGTTCCTTTAACACAAAAAACAGTAATATCTGGGTCTTTGTAATATCATTGCCTCTTCCTGGAAGGCTCTTTCCAGGGCTCTTCACAGGACTGATCCCTTGTCATCCTTCAGGTCTCAGCTCAAATGTCTTCTTTTCAGAGAGCTGCTCCCTGACCATTTTATCCAAAGTGGTATTCTCTAATTAGTCTCCTCTCATTCTGCTTGTCTCCTTCAGAGCATTTATCATCATCTGTAATAATCTTGATTAGGCAGAGCCCGGTGGCTCACACCTATAATCCCAGCACTTTAGGAGGCCAAGGTGAGAGGATTGCCTGAGTTCACGGGTTCAAGACCAGCCTGGGCAACTTAGTGAGACCTCATCTCTACAATAAATCAAAAAATTCGCTGGGTGCGGTGGCATGCATCTGTAGTTCCAGCAACTTGGAAGACTGAGGTGGAAGGATTACCTGAGCCCAGCAGATCAAGGCTACGGTGGCCATGAGCGTGCCACTGTACTCCAGCGTGGGCGACAGAGTGATACTCTGAATCAAAAAAAACAAAACAAAAACAATAATAATCATCTTAAGCCGGGCTCAGTGGCTCAGCCTGTAATCCCGTACCTTGGGAGACTGAGGTGAGTGGACTGCCTGAGCCTGCGGGTTCAAGACCTGCCTGGGCAACTTGGCAAGACCTCATCTCTACAATAAATCAAAAATTAGCCGGATGTGGTAGCGCACGCCTGTAGTTCCAGCTACTTGGAAGGCTGAGGCGGAAGGATCGCCGGAGTCCAGCAGGTCGAGGCTGTGGTGGCCGGGAGCGGCCATTGCACTCCAGTTTGGGCAACAGAGTGAGACTCCAATTCAAAAAAAAAATCATCATCATCAGGCGGGCTCGGTGGCTCAGCCTATAATCCCACGCCTTTGGGAGGCTGAGGTGAGTGGATTGCCTGAGCCCGCGGGTTCAAGACCCGCCTGGGCAGGCGAGACCTCATCTCTACAATAAATCAAAAATTAGCCGGGCATGGTAGCGCACACCTGTAGTTCCAGCTACTTGGAAGGCTGAGGCAGAAGGATCGCCAGAGCCCAGTAGGTCGAGGCTGCGGTGGCCGGAAGCGGCCACTGCACTCCAGTCTGGGCGACAGAGTGAGACTCCAACTCAAAAAATAAAAAATAAAAAATAAAATAATAATCGTCATCATCATCTTGATTATTTACTGGTTTACATGTCTATTGCCTATTTCCCACACAAGAGAGCAAACCAGCTCTTAATCTGCCTTGTCCATCACAATATCCCAGCAGTGGCTAGCATACTGGCAGTCATTCAGTAAATACCTGCAAATAAATTTTTTTTTTTTTTTTTTTGAGTTGGAGTCTCACTCTGTGGCCCAGACTGGAGTGCAGTGGCCGCTCCCAGTCACTGCAGCCTCGACCTGATGGGCTCCGGCGATCTTTCTGCTCAGCCTTCCAAGTAGCTGGAACTACAGACGTGTGCTACCACACCTGGCTAATTTTTGATTTATTGTAGAAATGAGGTCTCACCAAGTTGCCCGGGCGGGTCTCGAACCCATGGACTCAGGCAATCCACTCACCTCAGCCCCTCCCAAGGCGTGGGATTACAGGCTGAGCCACCGAGCCCAGCTTCTGCAAATAAATTAAATACTGCCAGGGCAAACGTCTCTTTAAATGACTTCAGAATTCAGGGCAGAAAATACTACATGTGGAATCTCATGATGAAGAAAGTCAGTTCTGTTTGTGAACAGGAAGCACGTAGTCCACACTTTCTCTGTCCACACAAAGGACTTAAATGTGCAGTGTCTGACGAAGGAGCAGAGTTAGCCCCTACCCTTACCATTTCTGCATATTCCACCTGCTCCCCCTCGTTGTACAGTTCTGGGGGCAGGTTATAAATCCGCAGAATGTTATCGGCACTATTGGTCAAGATGCAGGAACCATCAGGGGCCCTAGGAATAGGAAAGAGTTAGAAACTGGACAGACCTATGCTTTCCAAGTGTAAGGCTAGAGCCTAACTCTGAGGTAGGTAAGCCTCCCAGTCCTTGAGAGAAGTGAAAGACACAAAGTCCTAGATGAACCTTAAGCTCCGTCTAGGAGGGATTCTTACTCCTCCCACCTCCGGAAGAACCTTCTCCTAGATAACTGGGGATTTTTAAAGTGAAAATTCTGGGAGTGGTTATCTCCCTGCCCCTTATCCGTACTTACCACTTACAGCCTTTCAAGAAGTTCTCAGGTTGGGTGCTGAACTCTGACCAGGAACCACTGAGAAATCGAGGTAGCTGGGAGAAGCTGTAGTTCCAAGTGCTGGAAGGAAGATGGGGATGGGGCAACAAACCTGGGTCGCCAAAGCAAAGGGGAAATGGGCCTGGAGAAGCAGGGCTGTGGACTGATGGATAAGGTCTATCTCACACTTCCAACCTCGTCAGACTCCAAAGTCAACAGCCAGCACAGCACCACTTACGTGTCTCCCTCGTCCTCTGCAGTAGGGTCCTCTGATACACCTTCCAATGCTTCTCCAGACCCCAATTCTGGCCCGTTCGTTTCTTCTGCAGGAAGGCTTGCATTTTCAGAAAGTTCTTGCTCCTCGGTCCGAGGACTTAACTCACTAGGAGTATCAAATTCTGTCTCCGGGGGAGTGGACAGAGAAGCTGGGTGCCCCTCCCGCGCCTCCTGGGACATAGCTGAGACAGCCACGAGATCTGGCGCCAGCCGGGTCGGATCATCACCATCGGGGGACGGTGGCACCCGTTCAGAGTTCGTATTTTGATCCATCGGAGAAGTCTGGGGAGAGAGAGGGGCTGGAGCTAGGGCCTGGTCTGAAGGAAGGCAGTCCGGAGCTAACAGGTGCGCTTCCAAAGTCTTCATGCTGCAGAGGAAGCGCGGCAGACATCGGCCTCCGCCCGGACGGCTTCAAAGTTCTCAGGGATCCGACGCAGAACTACAGAAGCCCACCTGCGCCTCCCTTCCTCTTCCGGGAGGAGGCAGAAGACCCCCCGAGAGGCGAGGCGCACAAGTGACACCAATTTGGAAAGCACGGCGTTCCTAAGCACCTTGGGTCGCTACGCGCCACTTGCTCTCGCGGGATTTGGGCCCATCTTCCGATTTCGCGGGCGACCCTCGCAAGGGGCAGAGCGGAAACGTGAAAGGTTAGGAGGTTTACCGTGCCCATCAAGCCCCAGAGCCCCTAGGGCTGCTGGGAGTTGTAGTCTGAACGCTTCCGCCTTGGCGAGAAGTGCCTGCGCTCCCCCTACCGACTCCCGTGGTCATTCTTAAAGCACCTACTATCACCCCCGCCGCCTGCAGAGGGCGCCAGCACTATATTTGGTTTTACAGGTTTGAACCTCTTTTGCATCTTGTTCGCCAGATTCCTCACACCCCTGTCTCTCTCTTCACTTATGCAATAATATTTATTATAGAGATCCTACTTGCTACCTAGCACTGTACTAGGCACTGGGACATACAACAATGAATAAGATAGTAGACAAGTTCTCTACCCTCATAAGGCACATGTTGCTGTGTATTGACAGAAATGAACAAATCTTTCAGATAGTGATAAGGACTGTGAAGAAAATTAAACAAGATGATGTGATATAAAGTATCTGAGGGAATACGTTAGACTGGAATATTAAGGGAAGGCTTCCTAAAACGCGAGATTTTAGCTGATGAGAAGAAACCATCCAGCTATCTGCAAAGGCTTCTTCTTTCCACCCTTCCTATTTGACACAGTGGCAGAAGTCCTCCAAAATGGTTTCCACTAATTCTGCCCTCACAGATCTGGCTAGAATTTTCCCACCCTAAGATATTAGTAGCTACAGCACTAATACGTCGAGAATCCTGACTCCTGGCACCCTCCTCTCCAACTCTCCATTTCCTTTGCCTTCTCCGGCAAGCGAATTACTTGCCCTTACTTGTCATGGCGACTGTTCAGCTTTGTGCCAGGAGCTTCGCAAGGGTTGATGGGATTGGGATTTTCCCCTCCCATGTGCTCAGACTGGCGCTAAAAGTTTTGAGCTCCTCAAAAGTCCAGAACCACCGTCCAGGGCGCTGGTAGCCGCTGGGCTCCGGGGGCACCTGGCGTCCAGGCTCGGAGCGTGCTTCCCAGGACGGTGACACGCTCCCCTGAGGATTGGGTAAGCTCCTGATTGAGCCTAATGAGTCCTCTCTGAGTCATGGGCTCTCGGCTCCGTGCATTTTCAGCTCGGGAGAATTGCAGGGGCTGCGGGTGGGGCAGTGGGAGCTTAGCGAGTTTGGGGGTGGGTGGAATGGCAGCTTGGCTGGAGGAATCAACGTAAGAATGCAATGTTGGAAGGCGTGGGTGTAGATGATGAGGATGTTAGAATCAGCCGAACTCTAAGCTGAACACCAAGGCAGGGGAGTGGGACTTTGGGGAGCCTTGAGCTGGCCTAATGGGTGCTTCCTTCCCCGACACCCACCCAGTGCTGTTTGTGGGGAATTCCTGAAATAAGATGCACAAAGCATTGGGTATTGAGACTTCCGGATCTCGAGACTTTGGGAACTCATGGCTCGATATTTTAGAGTCCGTAACATCCTAGTGAAACCTCGGGCTCCAGCCCGAAATATCTGATTATTTGGGATGATCCGAGAAGCCCAAACTAAAGTCCCACACTTCCGGACCTTTGTCTTTCCTTTGGAGCTGGCCTCCTCCTTCTCTAGGTGGAGAAAATCCAATTAAAAGCTGTCAGCCGTGGAAGTGAGACGTGCTAAACAGGCAGTTTGCCTGCGAGGCCGAGGAGGACAGTCCCAATCTGAGAGGCCCGGCAGCCCTGTTATTGTTTGGCTCCACATTTACATTTCTGGCTCCTGCAGCAGCACTTCCGGTTTCTATTTTTCGGAGCAGCTCACTCTTCACTCAATGAGAGGGGAGTAGAAAGAAAATATTTTTTAGGCCACTTCCTATAACTTTCAGAGGAATGTTGCTAGTCTCCTCCCCCACCTTTTTTTTTTTTTTTCTGGATTACTTGGTTATTGCCTTTGCAAAGGATGGGGTATTTGTTTTGATGCAAACGTCAGTCCCTCCCCCTCTTTGAATGGTGTGCCCCACCCCCGGGTCGCCTGCACTGTAGGCGGACGCTACCATCGTGTGGGACAAGGTAAAAATAAAGTGTGCAGAAGGCAATCCCTTGGTATTTCCAAGAATGGTACATTGGAGAATCAAACTTTGAAAGAGTCAATGGTGGGTCGTCTGATACATTGTCGGAAAAACAATTTCTCTGTTACCCGGCTTTGGGCTAGGCCATTCCGATCCCGGACGCAGACTGAACGTCGTAACCGGAAGGGGCGGGCCTTGGAGGGGGCCGAGGTCCTAAGTGCCGCCCTCAGACCTGGCCAGTTCTTCCCAGAGGGAGGCGGCGGAACCCGCGCGGAGTCCGACTCGAGTTCGTTTCTCCCGCATCTTCATCTCTTAGGGCGCAGTTATTTCATTCAGAAGGTTCTTACCACGCACACGCACCTGCCGCGTGCCAGGCGCTGTGTGCTGTACTTGCCGTTTTATCTTTTTTGAAAATTGAGCTATCCCGATCGATTTACACACAGTGCAGTGTACACATACTAAGTTCACAGGAAGATGATTTTTGGCGACTAACCACCGTGTCTTGCCGAGCAGAATACAGACCATTTTCATCGTCTCAGGAACATTTCCTCACGCCTCTTCCCAGTCAATCCCCGATTCCCACCTTAATTTTGATTTCCATAACCATCTTTTGGAGAACTTCATATAAAATGGAATCATACAGTATGTGCTCCTTTTTGTCAAGCTTGTTTCCTTAGGTGTGATGTGTGTGAAAGCCACCCATGTTGTTGCATGTATCCGTATTTTGCTCCTTTTATCTAGTACATTCCATCATTTATGTATCCATTCTCCTTTTGATGGCCTTTTGAGTTGTTTCCCGTTTGGGGTTACTATGAAATAAACTGCTAAAACATTCTTGTACAATTCTTTTTGTGATTATATTTTTTTGGATAAATGCTTGGGGATGGAATTGCTTGGTTAGAAGTAAAGAGTAGATATATTTTTAACTGTGTCAAAAACCGCATTTCCCAATTTTCCATTTTACACTCCAACTAGCAAGTTTTAGAAGTTATTGTTGGTCCATATTCTTCCCAACATTTGGTGTTACCAGTCTCTCTAACGTGGCATATCACTGTGGTTTTAATTTCCAGTTCTCTGTTGACTAAAGATGCTTAGCAGTTTTTCATGTGTCTGTTGACCATATTTTGTGTATAAAGTGATTCTTCAAGCTTTTTTGCCTGTTATTTTTTATTCAGTTGTAAGAATACTTTATATATTTTAGATATAAGACCTTTGTCAGGTACGTGTGTTGTGAATGTTTTCCTATCTATTGCTTGCATGTTTGTTTGCTTAACAGTGTCTTCAGAGAAGCCAGAGATTTATGTTGGGAGTTTTTTCCTTACATGTTTGCTATTTGCTGTGTCCTGTTTGGACTATCTTTATTTTACCCTAGGGTCATGGAAATATCTCTTATATTTTCTTTTAGAATATAATATTTGGCTGTACACTAAGGTCCTTGAGCAGTATCGATTTTTTTAAATTATTTTTTATTTATGTTGTGAAGTATAGGAGTTAATGTTCTGGTTTGTTTCCTGTTTGGGTATCCAGTTATTCTAGCTCCACTTGTTGCAATAGCCTTTCTTTCTCCACTGAGTTGCTTTTTTTTTTTTTTGAGTTGGAGTCTCACTCTGTCACCCAGACAGTGGCCGGCCTTGACCTGCTGGGCTCCGGCAGTCCTTCTGCCTCAGCCTTCCAAGCAGCTGGAACTACAGGCGTGTGCTACCACGCCCGGCTAATTTTTTGATTTATTGTAGAGATGAGGTCTCGCTGCCCAGACGGGTCACGAACCCGCCGGCTCAGGCAATTCACTCACCTCAGCCTCCCAAAGGCGCGGGATTACAGGCTGAGCCACTGAGCCCAGCTCTGAGTTGCCTTTAATTGCAGTTACTGAACAGTGGAGTTTCGGTCTACACCTTAGTGCTATTTTCTATTTGTCCCCTCTGTTCTTTGCTCTCTTCAAACATTCAAGGAATAAACAGTAGCAATCTTATACAAACTCTTTCAGTAAATAGAGGGATATTTGTCAACTCATTTGGTCAGACCAACACAACCCTGAAACCAAAACCAAACAAGGACATTGCAAAAAAAGAATATTTAGACCAATATTCTTGTTAGAAAGAGTTTATTCCAGGATTGCAATGTTGATTTAACATTCAAAAGTCAATAAATAATGTGCTGGTCACGGTGGCTCATTTCTGTAATCCCAGCACTTTGGGAGGCCGAGGCAGAGGATTGCTTGAGTCAAGGAGTTTGAGATCAGCCTAGGCAGCATAGCTTCATCTCTACAAAAAAATTTAAAAATTAGCCAGGCATGGTGGTACATGTCTGTAGTCCCAGGTATATGGGAGGCTGAGGCAGGAGGATCACCTGAACTCAGGAGGTCAGGGCTGCAGTAAGCTGTGTCATGCTACTGCACTCCAGCTGGGGCAACAGAATGAAACCCCAATTCAAAAAAAAATCAGTTGGGTATAGTCGCTCACGCCTGTAATCTCAGCACTTTGCGAGGCAGAGGTGAGAGGATTGCCTGAGCTCACAAGTTCAAGACCAGCCTGGGCAACATGGCGAGACCTCATCTCTACAATAAATCTTTAAAAATTATCTAGGCGTGGTGGCACACACCTGTAGTTCCAGCTACTTGGAAGGCCGAGGCAGAAGGATCGCCTGAGCCCAGCAAGTCAAGGCTGCAGTGGCTGCGAGCATGTCACTGCACTCCAGCCTGGGCAACAGAGTGAGACTCTGACTCCAAAACAAAAAAAAAATCAATATGTATAATTCACCACATTCACAGATTGAAGGATAAAAATCCTGTGATCATTCCAACAGATGCAAAAAGCAGTTAATAATATTCAACATCTATTTGTGATTTCAATAATATTCAACACCTATTTGTGATTCCAATAAACCTCCTAGCAAACTATTAAAGAAAACTTCTCTAGTTTGATGATGGGTCATGGCACCATTAACAAAATATATGATGGGCCAGGTACAGTGGCTCACATCCCAGCACTTGGGGAAACCGAGATGAGAGGACTACTTAAGTCCAGAAATTCAAGACCAGCCTGGGCAACATAGCGAGACCTTGTCTCTACACACACACACACACACACACACACACACACACACACACAAATTAGCCAAGTGTGGTAGTG